TTTTTGGGGGGGGGGTTGCTATTTACTCAGTTGAAGTAATATTAAAGGATGCCACTGCTTGTTTATTTGTTTATTTGTTTGTTTGCTTGTTTTGTTTGCTTGTTTGTTTATTTGTTTTTGTTTGCTTGTTGTTTTTTTTAGTAAAGAGAATTACATTGACACAAAACTGTGCTAGAGGAGAACATGACAGATAGACGGAAATAAATCAGGCTTAAATCTTGTAAAGAAATATTGTAAATATCTCACCACAGGCGCCTTGTTCTGTCATTTGCCTTCCTCTCCGCTTTCTCCCTTTCCCCCGCCCTCCCCCACTCTGGCCCCGTAGCCTTCTATCTGCTCCTCACTCCATCACTCCTGACTCCTTCTTACTGCTGTCCTTCTGACACACCCCTGATCTTAGGACAGGTAAGATCGAACACCTAGCCTTCTCGGGGGTCTCATGCAAGTTTCGCAAGTCAAAGATCTCTTGATGATTCTTAAATCGATAAAGAGTAGGCTTCGGCCGAAAACCAGCAAAATCCCAAATCAATTTAAACCAAAATGAAACTGCATTAGTCATTATTTTTTTTTAAAAATTTTAACCTCGGAATGTGGCTGCCTGAAGGCAAAAGGCCCGGCGAAGTAGGAAAAACGATCACATACGTAAAAATAAATTGCAATGCAAATTTTAAAAACCAGCAGTGGAATACCCCAGTGATCTCTAGCAGGGGAGGTGGGCAAAGAAAAAGAAGAAGAAGAAGAACCTCTTCGATGTGGTCCAACTCTGACCTCTATGACATAGGTCTAAAAAAGTGTATGGGTCGCCCTTATCAAAAATATTACTATTAGGTTATCATTTAAGATGCGAGACCAGCGAATTTAACTTCCGTCTTCTAAAGGACCAAGTCAGTATAATGGGTTGAGCGCCTTGAAAACTCCTCAAAGCGACCCGAGTTCATGAACGCCAAATCAGGGGTTCGAACAAGAGCCATCTGCTCCGTAGTTCAGCATGATACCAACCGAGCTTACGTGGGATGCCCGAAGAAAGTCTTTGCGCCAAAGATACGGATATAATGTACCACACCTTTTTGATGCGTCATTTTCCAACATTTAACCCTATTCGTACGTCGTGTTTTACTATCGTATCCATGCGCGTGGGGAACTCTGTGCCACCACTTAACCCTCCGTACGTCGTGTTTTACTATAGTATCCATACGACGAGGGAAACTCTGTACCACCACTTTCCAAAGAGGAAATTTACTCTCTAATCCGATCCGACCGCTTTGCATAGCAGTCTATCAAAATGATTTTTTTGAGAAATACTGAAAGTTTTAAAGAGATCTTCGTACTACAAGTATTCTATAATGTGAAGAATACAATCCCGGTACAAAATGACCTCAGGCGTACGGATAGGGTTAAAAGGCGAGACCTACAAATTTAAGGTCCGTCTTCAAATGGGTTGACGCAAAATGACCCAAATTAAAAAACGCCAAATCAGTGATTAGAACCAGAGCCATCTGTTCCGTAGTTCAGCTCGATACCAACCTAGTTTACGGGGCGCCCGACGTAAATCTTGACGCCACATACATGGGATCGGGTCGGATTGGGTGGGGTATATCGCCCGACTCGTCGCCTGAAAACAAACGCGTTTGTTTTTGAGGCAACGAGTCGGGCGGTCGGTTTGTGCCACAATAGCTGTCTGCATGCGCCCCAAGGACCTTACTGCATAACCTTCTTGATGCACCCTCGATCTGGCTAGCAAACCGACGCGACCCGACCCGACCCGACCCGATCGTGCTAATTGGCACCAGGTAAAAGATACACCGATATAACGTACCACACCTTGTTGATGCGTCATTTTCCAACATTTGATTTAATTTGCCGTGCCAGTATGTGCCAATCCTTCTGCGTCCAGTTTGAGGCTGATCGAAAATCCCCGCGTCCACTCCCCGCTTTTCACTTGTCACGTCGTCTTGTCACACTGGCTAATGGCGTATCTGTCATGTTGCTATCTCGGTCGGTTCCATTTCCAGTTAGGGGAAACAAGTTACTATTTTCTGGGAAGGGCAACAGAAAACAATTGGGTGGCTTGGGGGGG